GCAGGACCTTTTGGGAAAGGCTGGTGTGGCTTCTTAACATTTTATGTCACCCTTCATCTGCCTGGAGGTCGCAGTTCATCATCATCAGGCTGTGGCAGGTTCCAGGCAGGATCCATCTGTAGGAAAGGCTGGCAGGGTTAAGCTCTCCCTGTTCCCTGACTGCCATCACTGCTGGGTGTCACAGGAGCACCCAGACTCGGGTTAGATTCAGGGATTGGGACCACAGGCACTTGAGTCACCCAGGCAGGAGCATTTCCTGCTCCTCAGTGCTCCAGCTCTCCTCCTTTACCCTTTTTTTAACAATTTTACCATCTCCAGTACAAGTTCCAACAGGGGGGCTTGTTCATGGTGCTCCATCCAGGAGATCTTGATGGCAGCTCACTCCATGACCCCAGGGCACAGGGGACATGGCCAACACAGTGCTGAATACCAAATCACCTACTCTGTCACGGTGGGAATGTCACACACGTGCCAGGACAGTGGGACAAGCTGGTGCTGCACCCCAGAGCCTGGCTGTGTGTCCTGCCCGGGGTGCCACAGCCGGGAGCTGCTCCATCAGTGTCACAGCCCCCACTGGGGGGTCAGCTGGGGCCAGCAGGTGACTCCTGAGCTGTGAAACCTCTGCAGCTGGTTCTTCGTGTACAGAGAGGTTGGGTTTTGCAACCAGCTCTTCCTGCTTCAGGGGAAAGGAGAAGTGTGATGATGCAGAGGGTACAGTCTGCTGTCCCTGCTTTGTGCTGTGGACACTGGCTCAGTGCACCCAGAGGCTCAGAGGAGGGCCTGGGTGCTTTGCCCTCCCTTTGTTCCCACGCCCCTGTCCTTGTGCCACCAGGGCTGTCATCACTATCAAGTCCCCCCCTAGTCTGGACTCTCTGGGACCACTTTTGAGTCTTCACCAAGACCTGCTGGACCTTTCCTGTCACCCCAGATGTCCCCATTTCCTTAGCAGGAATCCTGGATGTGAACAGCCCGTGGGACCTGCCTTTCCAATCCCACGAGCTGCTCAGGGCTGGTTTAAGGAGTGGGAGCCCCACCATGAATGCCCAGAGGTGACATTTAGCTCCCATTCAGGTTGGAGGGATTGTTGGCTCCAGGCCTGGGCTCTATGGCAACAGGAACCTGAGAAGCAGAGTGGAGACAGTTGCCATCTGAGATAACATATTTGAGAGAGTTTATAAGGAAGAGTTTGTAAGACATATCACTTTTTTCTAATTTATAACCTTTTTATGGGACTGCTTTCCAACAAGGATCATCAACATGTCAGATAAATAACAAAATTCGCAGTTCTGGTACTTGCTCATCATTTATTTGATCCTGGTTATCACATTCATTTTGTGGTACTGAGACATTTTATTTGTGGCATCAAACAAGAGGAGATGGAGATGCAGAGGGTTTCCTTCAGAGCTCACAGGTGACAGATCTCTGTCTGCTGTGCCCAAGTCCTGCTCAGGTGTGTCATAGGCTAGAATGAGAAAATCTCCTGAGGTGAAAGGGACTAACGAGGATCATCCAGTCCCTGCACAGACACCCCAACAATCCCACCCTGGGAGCATTGTCCAAGCTCTCCTGCAGCTCTGGCAGCCTCAGGGCTGTGCCCATTCCCTGGGGAGCCTGGGCAGTGCCCTGGGCAGCACCCTCTGGGGGAAGAACCTTTCCTGATCTCCAGCCTACACCTCTGTTCTGACAGAGGGCTGGCAGCTGCAGGAACTCTCCAGTCACTCCAACACATCTCAGGAGTGAAAAGGAGTACAGTGGAGAGGGCTTTGTCAGCAGGATTAGTTAAGTCCCCATTCTTAGAATTCTTATACATCAGTGTGGTTTTCAGGCATCCTTCCCTTACCAGTGTGGAGGAAGCTGAGCTCAGAGTAGGTCACCAGGATGTGAAGTGGTGCAAGCCCCACTGAGTGCAGCCACAAAGCAAGAAACTGCCACGTAAGCACACACTGAGGAAGCACCACACAGATTCTGAAGAAATGGTTATCAAGGAGCACTTGAAACTAAAAACGGCTGAAAGGGAAGCCAAGCAAAATTTGCAAGTGACTGAGCTGGGAATGAAGCAGCTTTAGAAATGGAGCAGATCCTCAAAGCAAGGAGTCCTGGCCTTGTGTTTGAATCAAAACTTGCTCAGTGCTCTCACCTCAGTGTCAGGTTTCCCTGGTACAGCTCCTCAGGATGAAAGCAATGTAAAGCTTTTTAGCCAGGAGAGAGCAACAGATAAATTCCATCTGTCGAGCCTCTGTTTTCTGCAGGCACCAAAAAATGTCAAGGAACAATTTGTTGCCATTTGTGTGAGGTTGTTAAGCAACATGAAACTCAAATATTGTGCCCATTCAGTTGGTACTGGAGCAGCCTAATTTGAGAGAGAGTAACTTTTGTGTGATTCATGTGCTTGCACTGACTGCCTGCTCAGTGATCCAGGGCACACGAGCGCATGAGCTGCACAGGCTGTGGCTGCTGTGGCATCTGCCATGGCAAGGTGACAGCAGGCTTGGGGCTGGGTGGCATCACTCTGGATTATCAGGGAGGTGGGGTTGTGGTATCCCTGGTGCTGAGTGCTTTGGAGAGGCTTTTCCAAGTGTCACTTGTGGCTGAGCATCTTCTGGCCAGTTGCTGGTGTTGGTGAATTGTGGATCTGTGGGAAGCATCCTGGTGTTAGCCAGGGGATGGTGGGGATGAAACCTCAGCGTTTTGTGGTGCTGGGTGGATTTGGTGTGGGAGTTCAGTGCTGGTGAATCTGGGGTTTCAGCAGTGCTGGGAAGGGGCTGACACTGAGCAACCCCTGTCCACACGAGACCCCTCTGTGTGGTGTGGAGAAGAGCTGTGAGCATTTGGTCCTTCCCAGTGTATTTGGGACGATTCCTGATGCATTTCCCTGTCCAAGGGCTGCTGCCAAGGCACGGGCACCGAGGTGTCACCAGCACCTGTGGCACAGCACGGCCATCCCACGCAGGGACAGGGCTCGCTGTGGGTGTCCTGGGGGAGGTTCCTGCTCACTCCTGCCCTGCCTCAGGTGTGTTTTGTCCATTTTGTCCCTCAGGTTGGACTTCAACGGGTTCTACACGGAGCGCCTGGAGCACATGTCGGCCGAGCGCAGCCAGAAGGCGCCGCCGCTGCTGCCCCGCCTGGCCGTGCCTGCCCAGTGAGCCTGAGCCCCAGCTGCCAACGAACCCTGCCACAGACACAGGGCAGCCTTCCTCCTCTGAGGTGTCTGCAATGCTTCAGGCTTTTGTTGGCTTTTTTTTTTTTTTACTATGTTGTACAATGATGTGTTTGTGTGTTGTAAAATAAATTAAATAACAACGACAAAAAATATCAGGGTTGTTTTTGTCTGTTAACAGAACTTAGGGTGCAAATTATTGTGGATGCTCCATCCCTGGAAGTGTTCTAGGCCAGGCTTGGAGCAAGCTGGGATAGTGGGAGGTGTCCCTGCCCATGCCATGGGATGATCTTTAAGTCCTTTCCAACCTCAAGCCCACAGCAGAGGAGTTCCAGGGAATCTAAACATCACCTGAGGCACTTTGAGAGCAGATACATAGAGGGAGGAAGAGAAATGTCTCCAAGGAACAAGGGGTAACCAAGGCCAGGGACACAGAGGCCTTGGGGGCAGGAGAGGGAACCTGGGGACGTGTGAGAGGGCTGTGGGCACAGGACTGAGTGCTCCTGTCCTTCCTCTCCCTCACCTCTCCTTTGCAGGGAGTTCCCAGAGCTCACTGGAGGGAAGAGCCAGGTTCTGTGTGCTCCATGGCCTACAGCTGCTCCTCCAGCTTTCCAGAGGGAGAGACCCCAGGAGGGGGTGGGGACCACCAGCAGGCACTGAGTCCCACTAGAAGTCATGGAGAGTTCATTTTTTTAAATCAACAGCAAACTTCTAAGCACCCGTGGATGACTAATCCCAAATCCGTTCACACCCACGTGCCTGTGACCATTTCCATTTCCTGGTTGGCCCTGGCCTGAAACACCCAGAAATACAAACGTGCCCGGCTTATCTGCCCTGATATCCCAGCTCCAGTGCTTCCTGTGACAGTCCAGCCCCCCCAGTGCCCCTGCAGAGCCGCAGGACATGTCCCACCAGGCCAGGGGACACCCTCATGCCCCCAAGGCCATACACACAGTCCCCAGTGCCACCTGGACCATCCCCCCACCCCAATGTCCTGTGGGCATCCTCCACCACCGCACTGACCCAGCCCCCCCGTGCCCCATGGACCCTCCCCAGAGCCTCACAGCCAGCCACGATTCCCCACAGAGCACTCCTGGATGCCCATGGACACCCTCTGGTGTGCTACAAACCTCCCCTGATGCCCTGTGCACCCCAGGAACCGTCCCCTGATGCCCCGTGACCCCTGCCCGATGCCCAGGACCCTCCAGGTGCCCCAGCAACTCCCAATGCCCCGTGGCCCCTCCCCACGGGCCCTCCCCCGATGTCACATTGGCCCTGCCCAGTGTCCCAGGGACCCTCCTCAATGCCCCGTGGACAGTCCCCAGTGCCCCACGGACACCGGTGATGCCCACGGACCGACCCCCGATTCCCGCAGCTGCCCCCGGACACGCTCCGGTGGCCCGTGGACCCTTTCCAGTGCTCCCTCCCCAGTGTCCCCTGGCCCCTCCAGGTGTCCCTGTGTGCCCTTCTCGATTCCCCATGGACCCCCGTGACTGCCCGGGGACAGTCCCCCGTGCCCCGTGGCTCACAGAGCCCCGTGATGCCCGCACCACCCTCCCTCAATTCCCCGTGGGCAGTGCCCATTTCCCTCCGGACACCCCGGTGCCCGCCGATCCTCCTCGATCCGCCACCGGCTGCCCCGTGGCCTCTCGCCGCTTCCTCACGGATGCTCGCCATGTCCCCTAACCAATCCCCGGTCCCCATTCCCAGTGTCCCAGTGCCCCCCCGGCTCCCGGTGCCCCCCAGGCCCAGTTCCCCGCCGTGGGCGGCCCGTCCCGCCGCGCCCCGCCCCGTCCCGTCCGCGGCCGTGGGTGACTCACGGCGGGCGGGGGCTGCCGGCGGCGCGGCGAGCGGGGGCACGGCGGGACCTCCGAGCCATGGCCCCGCCGCTGCTCCTGCCGCTGCTGCCGCTGCTGCTGCTGCCGCTGCCGGCCCGCGGTGAGCCTGGGGGCCCGGGCGGGCGGGGACTCCGGGGGGCGTGCGGCAGGACCGGCCGGGGGGCAGGGATGGCGGCACGGCCGCGGGGATGCTCATGGGGATGCTTTCCCCCCGCGGCTCTCGGGGGGAGTCCCGCGGTCTCGGGGTGCAGCTCTGTTCTCGCCTCCCGAGGGAAGATGATGGAGAAGGGACGCCCGGGGCCGGGCTCGCTCCCACCGGGATGCTCCCGGTATCTCCCGGTGCCTCCCGGGCCGTGCGGGCACCTCGGGAAGGAGAGAGGAGGGTGACAACCGGTGGCCCGCGACGAGCCGAGGGTCCCCGTCGCTCAGCCTGGGAGGTCGCCCGGGACTCATCTGTGTCCCAGCCGTGGGCGAGGGCAGTGGGACCCCCGCACCGAGCAGCCAGCCCCGTCCGAACCCGGCGTTGGGGGCTCCCGGGAAAAGCAAAGCGTTTATGGCAGGAATTCTCCGCTCCGACATCCAAGGAAGGCTGGGAGGGGGCTGAGCCAGCCAGGCACCAGCCGCTCTCCCCAGCAGCCCCCACAGCCGCCAGACGCCGAGTCACACGCGGTGGCATCACCATGGGGAGCTGGAAAACCTCTCTGTACCGCCGCTCCAGGGGCGCGGCGGGGCTTTCTGCCCCCAGAGGGACTTGCTCGCTCCCAGGTGATGCTGAGCTCCCTGGAGCCCGCCAGGGATTGCGTTCCCAGTAGGTATCTCGGGATTTGCTCTTCGGGCTCGTCCCTGCACCTTCACGTTGGCTGCTCCCGCTGTCCCCCGGCTCCAGACCCGAGGGAGCGGCGTGTCGGACGGGGAGGGAGGGTTTAGGGTGGGTATCAGGGAAAGGCTCTTCCCCCAGGGAATGGACACGGCCCCGGGGCTGCCAGAGCTCCAGGAGAGCTTGGGCGCTGCTCCAGGGATGCCCAGGGTGGGACGGCTGGGGGTCTGTGCAGGGCCAGGAGCTGGCTCAGCGATCCCTGTGGCACCCTTCCACCTCGGGATATTCTGTGACTCGGTTGTTCCCGGGCATGTGTCTCAAAGCCCTTCGTTTTTCCAGGCTCCACGGGCGGGCTGGAGGAGAAGCTGCCGCACGTGGAGCGGTACGAGACGGTGCTGCCGCGGGAGCTGCCGGTGCCCCGGGGCAAGAGGGACCTCTCTGCGCCTCCGGTGAGTCACAGCTCGGCACGGCCGCCCTCGCTGCTTCCCAGGGATCTGCCCGGGGGGATGCAACCAGCAGGGATCCCGTCCCACCACCAGGCTCAGAGCGGGACCCCCGAACCAGCCTTTTGGCCAGACCCGCTCAGCCCTGCACCAAAAGAATGACGTGCCGCCCGTTTCCTTGCCTTGCTTCCACCCCAGAGGGTGGAAATGCTGGAGCAATTGATTAGATCAGCTTTTCTGGCTGTTTTGGGGCTAATTAGGACCTGCCGACAGCGGGGCGCACTCCTGGGGAGAGGGGCTGCTTTCTCCAGTGCTTTTTTTGGAGAGGTGACCCAGCGGTGCCATCTCTCGCAGCCTTGCCGTGATCTTGTGACATCTGGTCTTTCCTTAAGGAGGGGTTTGCGGAGCCTCGTGGAGCTGTAAGCACTTTTCTTGCTGTGTTTGCTGAAGTTGGGGCTTTTTTTGTCCTTTGGGACGGAGAAATAAGAATCAGAAAGTTGCAGAAATCCACATGAAAGCAAACCAGTGCTGTTTTTCTTGGGAAACCTGGCAATTTGGGGGAAGGAATGGGGTTTGAGTCAGGAGTTTGGAGTGCTTGATGTCGACGTCCGTGGGATGCCTTGACCTCAAAGTCACTTTCCTCATTGCCTTACAGTGAAATTCAGCCAATTTTTTTTTTTTTTTAATTCCTTTTCTAGCCCCAAAAAGCACCAATTTTAGCGCCTGGAGGGATGGAGGGACCGGGGACACGTATTCCCTAGTGCCATACAGCACGTTCCCCTGTGATTCAAACCCTTCCTGATAAGCTAGCTTCAAAAACACTCCCCGAAAGCATCTGTTTTCCCTGCTCTAGAAACCTAAACTTGTCCACGAGATAAACATTCCCCGGGCTATTTAGAGACGCCATCTGTGCCGGGCGTGCGCCGGGCGGCTCGGCACCGATCCCCCCGGGAAGGGGAGCTCACCCACCTCGGGATCCCTCCGGAGAAGACATCTGCCATGAGCTGTGAGCCCCACAGGGGCTGGCTGATGGGTGGCACCTGGATTTGGTCTTGGCTTGGGTGGTCCTTGGACATCCCAAAGCTGCCTTGTTCAGGGCAGGGAGTCTCCTGCTTTCCAAGCCCTTTTTTGCTGCCTCTTGGAGAGAGGTCACCTGGGTGGGGAAGAAGCTCTCAGCAAGGTTTGACCACCACCAAGCCCCTCTGAGGCAGAGATGGGTGTGCTCCTCGCTGGCTCCTCCTGTAGCCAGGACAGCCATAGGCCACCAGGAGCTGGCTCTGGGGCTGGAGTGGCTGGGACACACGGGATTGGTCCAGCAGGTGAGGGTTGAAGCAGATCAGCTATCCCCTGGCTTTGCTTAAACCCCAAAGTTCATCCCTGCAGGCAGGGTGGAGCTGTGGGTCCTGCAGCGTGGGATCTCCTGGGTGCCAGCCTTCCCACAGCACAGCAGGGAGAGTGCCACACCCGGGTTCTTCATGGAAAGGGCTCTGGAAAAGTGTGCAAGGCCTCTTGGCTCTTCCCACCTGAGCTGGGGTGGGATGGGACATCCCGTCCCCATCCTCTCCAGGCTCTCTGGGTCTCACTGAGAGCAGCTGGAAGAAATCCCTGCTCTCCCTGCACTCCGGCTGTGGCTCTGCTGTGCTGGCTCAGCACGGCCACGGGGCTCCAGGGCTGCTCCCAAAGCCTTCCCATCTGGAGCCCTCGCACAGCCCATGCTAATGAGGAAGGGGGTGATTCAGAGCAGCTTTATCAGGACTTTTTATTTCAAACTTGCCCTGCGGTCGTCTCCCAGAGACGCTCCCTGACCCAGCACCCCCTCCCAAGTGCTTTCCTGCCATTCCTTGAGACCTCTTCTGGCCTTGGCGTTGCCAACAATAACAAAGGATGGCTTTGTTGGCTGACAGGGGTCGGGAGGGGCGGGAGACGCTGTTCATAAGAGAAGAATTTTCCAGGGACCCACGAGCACAGTGGAGCTGCAAACCAGGGAGAACGGGGGCAGCTGAGTGACAGCAAAGCCTCTCACCTGGCCCCGCTGGCACTGAGTCAGCAGGGCTTTCCGCTCAGCCTGGCTCCTTCCAGGGTGCAGATCATCCCCTTGGGAATGCTGAGCCATGGCATGACAGCCAGCTCTGTCACCCTCCCCAGGGAGAGGCAGCACACCTCATCCCTGAGGAATGCTGGCCCCATGGGAAAGGTTTGCTTTGCCTTTGGCTGGGCTCTCTCCACACCTGGATTTGGCAAGGGCTGAGGTGGATGTGCCCTCAGGGGAGGTCTCAGATCCCTCGTGGCAAGGGCACAGCGTGACACGGGACCATGGCTCTTTCCCAGTGACCCCAGTGGGATGGGGCCTCTGGCGGTGGAGATGACAGGATAGCCCAGAGGGAAACACTTTTCCTGTAGGAACATCTCCATCCTGAGGGTTCAGGGCTCAGCTGGCTGAGCCACAGCCATCCTGGCTCCCTCCCACCAGGACTGGGGACACAGTGATCCTAAAATGTGCTCTGAGAGGCCGAGGAGAGCCAAGGGAAGCAGTTCCCTGAACGTGATGTGGCATGTCAGATCAGGCAGGGAGGAAGAAGCCTCTGCTGATAAGAGCCATAGGGATCTTTGTGGTTCAGCTGGTGAGTAAGTGCTGAACTGGGAGCCCAAAAAAGGAGCTCTGTGACTGATGAGTAGGAAACCTCAGTCCGTGGCACGGCCATCTGCAGCCGTGTGTCAGACACGGGAAACCAGACTCTGCTGACTCCGTCTCCTTGCGGGTGACCTGTTCTTCATCTCAGGATGTGCCGGGGATTTGCCTCGTTGCCCACACGCTTTCTTCCTTCTCTTCTGATTTCCTGTGTCTTTGCTGCGTGCCTCCAGGCTGAGCGGCCGGGCTCAGCAGGGCACACACAGACCCTGCTGTCCCCTTTCCGGGCGGGACAGGGGCCCCTCTGGAGCAGCTCTGGCTCCTGCCCAGTGTCTGACGGCACCTCTCTTTCATGCAGAGCACCTACCCAAGCCACGTCCTCTACGGCATCCGTGCCGAAGGCAGAGAGCACCTCCTGTGGCTGGAGAAGAACAGGTGAGTGCAGGTGGGCACGGTGGGGTGGCCTGAGGGGGTTTGCATCCCCCCCTTGCCCTGAGCATCCCTTCTCCAAGGCCTGGCATCACCACACCGCTGACCTAAGCCTCAGCCCAGAGCACTTTATTCCCTCCCTGCCAAACCCACCCGGGGGTGTCACAGCCCCCACATGCTCCCCCCAAAGCGGGGTCACTGCTGATGCTCCCTCCCCACCCCGCAGGGCGCTGCTGGGGCAGAACTACACCGAGACTCACTACGCTGCCGATGGCTCGGAGATCACGGAGCAGCCGGACACCCAGGTACGGGCTGGCTCCGGGGGGAGCAGCCTTCCCACCCCTGCGGGGCCGTGCAGCCCCCACAGCTCTGCCCTCTCTCTCTCGGCAGGATCACTGCTTCTACCAGGGCCACGTGCGGGGACAGCCCGACTCGGCAGCGAGCATCAGCACCTGCGGCGGGCTCAGGTAGGGCCCCGGCTCCCTGGAGCCCTGCTCCTGGCTGGGGACAGCTGCCAGCCTCGGCACGGGGCACGGTGAGCCGGTGTGACAGAGCCCCGGTGAGCCAGGGTGACCGAGCCCTGGTGACCCGGTGTGACTGACCCCGGTGAGCCGGTGTGACAGGGCCCCGGTGACCCGGAGTGACCGAGCCCCGGTGAGCCACGGTGACCGAACCCCGGTGAGCCGGTGTGACAGAGCCCCGGTGAGCCAGGGTGACCGAGCCCTGGTGACCCGGTGTGACTGACCCCGGTGAGCCGGTGTGACAGGGCCCCGGTGACCCAGGGTGACAGAGCCCCAGTGAGCCACGGTGACCAAGCCCCGGTGACCCAGGGTGACCGAGCCCCGGTGACCCAGAGTGACCGAGCCCCGGTGAGCCGGTGTGACCCAGCCCCGGCCGTGCTGATGGAGTGAGAGCTCAGCTTTCCCTGCGGAAGGGAAGATGACATCCCTCTTCCTGCTGGAGGCGCTGGCCCTGGATGGGTGCCCTGCAGGAAAAGCTCACGGCACTTTTTGGGGGCTGACTCACGGCAGTGGGGTGAGAGTGGAGCCCTGACACCGCAGGAGCTCCGGGCAGGACTGCCCTCGCTGGATCCATCCTTAAAGGATCAGCTGCTGAAGCCCAGGACATCCCTGCTGCCCGAAGCACTGGACAGTCCCCGTGCTGCGGGTGCCGTGCCACAGCCTGTCCCCTCCCAGCCCAGCAGCCAGTTTGGCAGCTGTGTTCATACAGAATCCCAGAATGGTTTGGGATGGGAGATCCTAAATCTCAGTAAGTCCCACCCCACGCCATGGGCAGGGACACCTTCCACTAGACCGGGTTCCTCCAGCCTGGCCTTGAACAATTCCAGGGATGGGGTGTAGTGTCACAGGCACTTCCAGGAGTGCGTGTGGGGTTTGTCCGTGTCCCCCCAGCCTGACGCCTGCCCTCTCTGTCTCCCTCCCCAGTGGGTTTTTCCGGGTGAATGAGACCACCTTCGTGCTGGAGCCGCTGCAGGGGGCCGTGGCCGGCCGGCACGCCGTGTACCGAGCAGCTCACCTGCGGGGCAGGCGCGGCACCTGCCGGGAGCCCGGCGCCAGCAGCCTGCAGTACGACCGCGAGCCCAAAATCCCGGCAGCCATGAAGCTCTACCGCTGGGTAGGGATGGGATCGCATCGCTGCTCCTTCCTGAGCCGGCTCTGTGAAGTCCCGGGGGAGAGAGGCGTCCCGTGGCTCTCGGCCGTGCCCCTCTCCCATGGTGGTCGGGTGTCCCAGCACAGGGGGTTTCTGGTGGGAACAAGCCTTGGGATCCTGTTAGCAGGAGCATCCTCCCACCCCAGGGGCTCTGTGATGCCTGCAGAGCCTGGTGTGGAATCCCAGCTGCAGGCTTGGGTTTTCCAGCATGCGAGCTGCAAGAAGTCTGAAACCCAGCAGAACAACATCCCAGAGCTGGACTAGGAGACCTGCTAACCTTGGAAGGTCCTCCAGGATCTGACACACCCCATGGGATGTGGGTCAGCCGGTGGCTTGGCATGCTGCAAGCTGAGCCCCACTTTCCTCTTCCCTTTCAGAAATCAGGTCCGGTACAAAAAGGTCCCCGGTACGTGGAGCTGGTCCTGGTGGCAGACAACCAGGAGGTAAAGTGGGGAGAGCAGGTGCCTGGGGGTTTGCTGTCACAGCCTGCAGTGAGGAGCTCAAAGCCACTCTGGGAATCTCTCTGTGTCCTTCCCATAGTTCAGGAAGCACAAGGACCTCCGCACCGTGCAGAACCGCATGAAGGAAATCGTGAACCACGTGGACAAGGTGAGCCCGGGCTCTGGACCCGCGCTCCCAGCTCCAGTGTGGGCACAGGGCAGGTGGCACACAGGCTGGCACGGGGGGGGTGGTGGAGCTGGAGCCAGTGGGCACAGAGGAGGTGGCACACAGGCTGGCACGGGTGGGTGGTGGAGCTGGAGCCAATCTCAGGCCCTCAGGGGGCTGCTGCAGGGTGACCACATCCCTCGGCCCACTGCATGTGCAGTGTGGACAGGAGTGGCTCAGCTCTGTCCACAAGGGAAATTTTGTCCTGTAATCCCTGGGAGCACGTCCTGTGGCCACTCTCAGGCTGGAGTGGCTGCTAACAAAGGGAGGGATGTGTTGGGCCATGCTGGGTTTCCTGATGGCTTTTCTTCAGCCCCAGTTGTTGGTTAGCAGTGTGGGAGCCACATCCCAGCCTTCACCCTCCAAGAGGGAGCCCAGAGGTTTGGGAGGAAATCCTGTGTCCATGGTCACCCCAGCTTGTGTCGTTTACTGAGGTGACAGAGCAGACATTGCCAGTGAGGAGTGTCCTGGGCTCGGCTGCAGTTCCCTGGGGCAGGTGGGACCTCCCTGCTGCTGCTGCAGCCCAAATCCAGGCTCCCTCTGGGCTATGCCCCCCCCAGCTCTACCAGCCCCTTCGCCTGCGGGTGGCCCTGATTGGCCTGGAGGTGTGGAACCACAGGGACAAGATCACAGTCAGCCCCAACCCCGAGGTGACGCTGGACAACTTCCTGCACTGGCGGGAGTCGGAGCTGCTGCGGAAGAAGCCCCACGACAACGCCCAGCTGATCACGTAAGGACAGGGGGGCCGCCACCTTGCCACCCTCGCAGCCCTGCCACCGCCCAGGGCACGTGGCCATGGTGGCATCTCAATCCCACAGGGGTGTCGACTTCCACGGCAACACCGTGGGGCTGGCCAAGAAGCTGGTGATGTGCACCAGGGACTCGGGCGGCGTCAACCAGGTGGGTCCTGTGCCCTGCCCTCCCTGCTCCGCGTCCTCCAGAGCCACCCCTGCCTTCGCTGGTCCCCAGCTGTCCCCCTCTGCAGCCTCAAGGCTGGATTTGGGCCCTGGCATCTCCGTCCCCTAAGTGACCGACCCCCAGAGAAGTGGACACCCAGCTGGGTACCTGTGGTACCTTTGGTGCACCTGGAAAGCCTCCCAGAGAAGCTCCATGGACACAGGAGCTGGGATTTTAGGAGGCTATCAGGTGGTTGGGACTGGCTGTGCTCCTCATCCCTCCCCAGGAGCAGGAGAGGTTGGCTGTGTGACCTCCCAGACTCACCAAAAGCATCATTTTTGGAGCAGCCACTTTGTCTAAGCTCACTGACAGCCCTGAGAGACCAATCTGGGAGTCTTGAGAGGCCACGGGACCGTGTCCAGCTTGTCCCTTACCTGCGCATGGCAGCGTGAGGAGACACGTGGAGAAGCTGTGGAGAAACCAGAAGGACATTTAACCCACAGTGATCTCCTTGTCCCACAGGATCACAGCACGAACCCCATCGGCGCCGCGTCCACCATGGCCCACGAGATGGGGCACAACCTGGGCATGTCCCACGACGAAGACGTCGCCGGCTGCCGCTGCCCTGTCCCCAAAGCTGACGGGGGCTGCGTCATGGCAGGGAGCGTTGGGTGAGTGAAGGAGGCAGGGGGACATCCCTGGGCAGCAAACACACAGAGGTGTCCTCTGACAGGGCGCCCTGATGGGGTGGAACCAGGGAGATGGTCAGGTTTGGGTGGACATTCTACCCCACCCCACCTCATTGTTTATTATTGTCACTGCTTTGTAATGAAGGCGGTGTCTGTGGAAGTTTCTGTTTTTCCCATTCCCACAGCTGCAGGTGCCTGTGGGTGGGTGACCCTCCCGGGTGGGTGACCCTCCCGCTTCCCCCCGGGCTCTCTGCTGACCACGGCGCGGTTCTGTGCCCCTGCAGGCTGGTTTACCCCAAGCTCTTCAGCCGCTGCAGCGAGCAGGACATGTGGCAGTTCCTGGGGGACCCCCGCACCAGCTGCCTGCTGAACGCGCCGCGGGCGGACGAGCTCTACGGGGGGCCGGTGTGCGGGAACCAGTTTGTGGAGCGGGGAGAGCAGTGCGACTGCGGCACGCCCCAGGTGGGCAGGCAGAGAGGGGGGGCAGCAGGGCACTGAGATCTGTCCAGCTCCTGGTGCTTCTGACAAAAATTAACGGGCAGAGGATATTCGTGTGCGCCCCGCTTCGTGTAGCTGGCTGTGATTTCAGCCTAGGAAAGATGGACATCCCCCCATGTCCTCCAGAGATGTCCCACTCCAGGAGGGGACAGCAGGGCATGCTGCTCTTCCCAGGGCTGTGCTCAGCTGTTCCTCATCCCTACCAGCGTGTCACAGGGTGGGGAGGAATTGAGACAGACAGACACTGCCTCTGGGATAAATCCCTTGTCACAGCCCTGTGCTGGCACCTGAAGGAATGCTCCCCTGATCCAGGGAGCACAGAAATCCTCATTTTTTCTCCTTCCTGGAGACTAGCTCAAGTTCCATCATCTGAAAAAATCCTTTCTGGTCCTTTGGTTCGGTGTTGGTAATGGGGATAAAGAGGCAGCAGGAGCAGTCCCCACCTGGGATGTTGAGGTTTTGGCCCGTGGTTCAGCCCATGGCAGCTACACTGCTATGGGCACCTGGTGGCATGGCAGCCTGGTCCCCTCGGAAGGGAGGGAAAGGGTCCTTCAGGGGCTTCCAGCAGGGTTTCAGCCCATCCCTGTCTCGCAGGAGTGCTCGGACCGCTGCTGCAATGCCACCACGTGCCAGCTGAGAGAGGGAGCCGAGTGTGCCCGAGGGGAATGCTGCCAGGACTGCAAGGTACTGCCGCCACAGGGGAGCAGCTCCGCAGCTCCTTATCAGGGGAAGAGCCGGTCCGAGCCCTGGAGGAGCCGCTGTGCTGTGCAGCGGCTCAGTCGCTAGCAGAGTGTCAGCTCTGGATCCAGAGGGTGCTGGGAGACATTCCCAGAGCGGGGTGCTGCTGTGCTGCGGTGCCTGGAGACGTGAGAGCACCCGGGCAGTGCTGACACCCCTGTTCTCCGTGCAGGTGAAGGCTGCAGGTACGCTCTGCCGGGCCAGCAAGAACGACTGCGACCTCGCCGAGCACTGCAGCGGCCTCAGCGCCGAGTGCCCCGAGGACGTGTTCCAGGAGAACGGCATCTCCTGCCAGCACGGCAGCGGCTACTGCTACAACGGGGCCTGCCCTTCGCACGGCGAGCAGTGCCGGGCGCTCTGGGGAGCAGGTAGGGACCCTCCCTGCCCACCCTCCTGCCCCACCGGCTGCGGGCTGTGCCTGGAGCCCCCCGGGCCAGCGCATCCCCGCCGGGCTGCGGTCCCTCCCTGCATCCTGAGCTGCGGAGCTGCTGATCCCCAAGCGGGCTCCGGCTCCGTGCGACCCTTTCCGTGTGTCCCGCAGAGGCGCAGGTGGCTCCTGACGTCTGCTTCAAGCACAACAGCGAGCAGCACGTTCACCTGCACTGCCTCACCGAGTACGGCAAGCAGCCCTGCAGCCCCAAGTAAGGACGGGCTGCGGGGGGATGGATGTCCCAGCCCGGGGGGCTCCCTCCCGCCGGCGCTCACGGCTGTGTCCCGCAGGGATGTCAAGTGCGGCACGCTGCTGTGCCTGAGCGACAAGACCCAGCCCATCCTGGGCAGCGGCTACTACTCCTTCGGCTACTACTTCGGCCGCTTCAAGTGCAAGGCGGTGATCGCGGGCAGCGACGCCGGCGAGGCGGCCGAGCTGCGGCTGGTGCCCACCGGCGCCAAGTGCGGCGAGGAGATGGTGAGAGCCGTGCCGGGGCCGTGCCGTGCCGGGGCAGGGTGAGCGCCGGCCCCGGGGCAGCCTCAGAGCCCCCCTGCCTGCCCCCAGGTCTGCTACGCCGGGCGCTGCCAGAACCTCCAGGTCTACGGCGACAAGAACTGCTCGGCCAAGTGCAACAACCACGGGGTAGGCGCTGGGATGGCCCTGCCGGAGCTGCTCGGGCCCGCGGCACGGCCACCGGCCTGACCGCGCTCTGCCCGCTCCTCGCAGGTGTGCAACCACCGGCGCGAGTGCCACTGCGACCCGGGCTGGGCAGCGCCCTACTGCGAGCAGGAGATTTCAGGGATAGCCGCAGGTACGGTGCCCAGGAGGGAGCCTGGGGAGGGGGCTGGCACCGCCTGGGAGGTGCTGCTCCGTCCCCGAGCGCCCGGTTTTGTCCCCGCAGGGAGCGGCAGCGCGGTGCTGGCGGCCGGGCTGGCCGTGCTGGCGCTGGCCGGCGTCGGGCTGGGCAGCGGCCTGCTGCTCCTCAGAGCCAGGGCGGCGCGGCGCTCCCACAAAGGGTGGGTAATTCCCGCCTCCGCTGCTCGGGGCTGAGCCCGAGGGGTGCCCCGAGCAGCCCCACATGGTGCTTGTGTCCCACAGGAGCTCCAGCGGGACTCCCTCCGGCCTCGCCAACCCGCTGTTCCAGGAGGGCGGCCGGGCGCGGCCGTGCCGCCGCCAGCTGTCCCGCAGGGACATCGGCCAGCCCAGCCTGGTCAGCAGCACGGCGGCGCCGCGGGCCCGGGCACACAGCCCCGTGCTGCCCCGGGCACTCAGCCCCGTGCTGCCCCGGGCACACAGCCCCGTGCTGGCCCGGGCACACAGCCCCGTGCTGGCCCCGCAGCCATCCGCACCCGGCCCGCTGGGGCCGCCTCGCTCCCCTCCGCGCTGGGCCCCGCAGGTAAGCACCCCTCCCAATGGCTCCAGCCCCCCTGTGCGGGCACATCCCGGGGGTGGCCCGGGCTGGTGGCGGGGGGGACCCTTCCTGTCCCGCTGCGGGTCCCTGCTGGGTGCCCGGGTGAGGCAGTCGGGTCTCTCCTCCCGCCAGGCGAAGCCGAAGCCGCCCAGCAAACCTCTCCCAGCGCTGAAGAGCAAAGTGCCGAGCCACGGCGAGGGGCCGCCGGCACCGTCCCTTCCAACCTTCCAGCGGTGTCCCCCGCCAAAGGTGGCCCTGAAGCCGCCCCCCGCCAGGAGGTGACCAAGGATGCTCCATCCGCCACCGCGGCCGGCCGAGAGCGGCACAGCTGGGTGGGTGGCACAGCTGGGTGGTGGCACAGCTGGGTGGTGGCACAGCTGGAGAGCCATCGTCCCGCTTCCACCCTTACTTGAATTGCCGGCCGGACCCTCGGACCCTGTCCGGGGCGGGCACCAGTGTTTACAGATCCTCGAGTTGTGCCTTAATGGACTCGGCAGCTTCACGGTTGTCCCAGGGAGAGCCGCCAGCCGGGGCTTCCCAAGGAAACCAGGAGCGGGGACAATGCCAGCTCCGGTTTGGAGGACCAAGCCACGTTGGCCCAGGCTCTCCTGCGCCCTGGGAGCTGCTGCCTTCTCTCCCGACGTCCTGAATGTGTCCTGTCCTCCTGCCCTTCCCTGCCGGGGCTGTGGAGAGGAGCTCCTGGCACCACGGGGCAGGAAGAGCACACATCCCTGCTCACAGCGCCGTGGGGACCTGCCCCAGGGACATCACACGGGGGGATGTCACCAGGGGCTGTGGCAGGTCCGAGCTGGGCTGGGCCTCCCCACGGGGCTTTTATCTCTGGAGTTATTCCTTGAGTGTTCAAAGGGAATTCCCTGGGAGCCTTTTTACTGCAGCCATTTATTTATGACCCTTATGTGACCATTTTGAGCCACTTGCTGTAAAACCAGGCCTCCCATTTTTGATATAATTTAGGTTCAAGGCTTTTATACCAATAAAGACTGAAGGAAGAGGTGTCATGGGGTGTGTCTGGGCAGGAGGGCACAGCGGGGTGGCAGCAGGCAGGAAGCTGTGCGGGGATCACGGAAGGGGGAAAAGGGTGGAGCTGAGCTCCCCAATCCAGTGCCAGAGCCACAGGGGCCAAAGTGCAGCACATTTTGCCAGCCACGCAGAGCCAGGCTGCCCCAGGATGCTGCAGGGAGTCCCCTCATGCTCAGCACCATCCTGGCTGTGGCTGGATTTGAGCACAGGCTCCCAGGGCAGCACTCGCTGCAGCTGAGGACATCCACACCATGCAGTGCTGCTGCAGGGGGACAGGCAGAGGGGTCCCCCACTTCATGTGCCACCAGCCCTAGGACACATAAAACCATCCCAAAAAATGGTAACAAAATAATTTTATTCTGCTTTATCAAAAGAACTTAGCTGTGAATGTAAACCTGACCGGATGTATCGTGTTTCCTTAAGGAGATGCGCATCCAGGGGCAGACCCCTTTAGTCACAGGCCCACACAGGCCACGGGAGAGGAGAAAAAAGCCAGTTCCATCCCAAAATCCCGGCAGCAGCCATGTCCCTGCTCACAGCTGGGGCTCAGAGGGCAGCAAGGCCACGCCAGGGTGCCGAAGCCGTGGCCACCCCCTCCTGCACACGCTGGGGCTGCTGCAGCGGGGCTGGGGAAGCAGGGAAGGGTGGAGGAGGCTGCTGCAGAAGGCACTGGGCATCACACATGCTGCTGCAGGACCTGGGACCACGGGAGCGTCCCCTGGGATCCCTCAGACCACGTGGGGAGGTGGCTGATGCATACAGAGGGACACTGAGCCAGTGACAGCCACTTAAGGCAAAGTCATGGCGCAGGGAGGCACAGCAAGGCTCAGATCCGAAGGGAAGCAGCTCTTCCTGCACTGGCCTGGCAGGCTTTCCTGCTCCCTGCATGGACATCTTGCTCTGATCACTGCAGGAGAGCTGTGAACTGCCTGCTTGCTGCTCCCAGCAGTTCCCCTCTGCCCTTGTCACTTCCAGGCTGGCAGAACCTACTCCATCCAGCCATTCCTGATGCCCAGTGTGCCCAACCCCAGTAACACATGGAGAAAATAGTGGAGACCACATTCCTGCCATCATTCCCTCCAGCAGTGCTTCTAGCCTATAAAGCCTGCCCTCATCCCAAAATCCAACCAAAGGGGTGCTGCTGGGGCGAGGGGAGGTCTGTGCCAAGGGCCTGCTGCAACACTGAGGAGGTGGCAGGGAGAGATGAGACTACACTGCTCCCTCAAAGCCCATGCCACAGGAAAAAAAGGGATCCTGCAAGCCAAGCAGCATTTCCAGGAGACATTTCAAACACTACAGAACACACTGCCACCGCTCTCTGCCCTGGTGCCTGGCTCCTGCCATGGCTGGGTTGGAAGAGGAGCTGGAATCCTGGAGCAGAGCATCAGCTGAGCCTTGGGAGTTTGCAGGCAGACAGAGAACAAGAAAGACCACCTGAAACTGCTGCAAAGTCCCACAGTTACGTCTCACACCCTGCAGAAGGGGCAGGGCCAACACAACCCTGCTGTGCCCCAGAGATGGAGCAGAGCAGCCAGGGCAGGAGCAGAGACAGCAGGAGGCACCGTGTGCTCTTGGAGACACTGCCACCCCTGAAACCCAGCCACACAGGCTGGGGACACAGCACTGCAGAGCCCACACAGCTCCTCTGGGCACACCACCAGCACAGGCAAAGCTGCTTTGGGTTCAATGTTTCTCAATGGCACAAACTAAACACATCCCTCCCCCCGCCAGGAGGCTGCAGATGGAGCCAGGGATCCCAACAGGCTTGAGTGCTCAGTGTCACCAACCCCCAGCCCCTCCAAGGCTGGCATGGCTGCTCTGAGGGGACAGGACAGCAGGAGGGATGCACAGGGAGAGCAGGTCACTGAACATGCAGCAGGCAGTGCTGGGGTGCTCCCAGCTGGAGGATGGCATTCCAGCTCTTGCCAGCTGCTTCCCCAGGTGTTGCACCCCAGATCCTCACAGAACATGAGGAGGAGCAGGTCCTGAAAGCAAGCACATCCTCACAAGCAGGGGGAGGAAGGAGGGAAAGCAGAAAGCAGGTTTGTCCCAGCAGATTCCCCCCTCCCCGAGCAGCTCTCCCTCACCCTGCCACGGCACACCAGGAGCAGGGTCGGATATATGACAGCACAAATCAGGACAGAAGATCCATCTGCCAGCAAGCCTGGCCAGGGGTGAGAGGACCAGGGACACACTCCTTGCCATGGCTGTTCAAGGACATACAAAGCAGGTCCCACTTCCTGGAGCAGTGGATTTTGCAGGAGGAGCAGCGATGCCTCACCTACTTTGCAGCTGAAGTGTCAAACATCTGCTCTGCTGCACAGCAGGGTCCTTTCACTCTTCTCTTCCCCTTCACTTTGCCAGCATGGCAGAGCAGTGGAAACTCAGCCCTCTTTCCCTGGTGAATGACTTGCAGGGAAGCTGGAATCTGACCAAAGACTTGCCAGGCTCTGTTCCCAACCAGCTGCTCCAAGGTGCTCCTGAAAATCTGGTTTAGGAGGGAGTGAGACTCAGCCATCCAGTGGGAACACCACAGTCAGTCCCAGGCAGCCAGTGCAAGGCTCTTGCTTGGAGAGGGATCACAGAATCTCTTCAGAGGTTGCTTCCTCCAAGTGGTTATCTAGCACTGCTGTCTGCAAGAGTATCAAGGCTGTGCAGATCCTATTCCCATAACCTATTCCACAGCAAACCACTCCTTGCCCCCAGCAGAAACATGCTGGCTAAGGAGAGTCCACTCCACTGGAGTCCTTGAGGAGAGCGAGACAGCGTCAACAGAAACCTTCACCAAGCAAAGCTTCAGCAGCAGGATGAGGGGAACCTCCTCTTCACTCAGCCTCAGCCAGGAGTGCTGAGCAACGACCAGTGTGCAGCAACACAGCACTCAAAGCCACATCTCCTTCCTGCAGAGCAACTCCTGCTAAATAACTGCACCTACCCTGGGAGGCTTTCCTGCTGTCTGTCGTTTAATATTCCAGTATAGGTATGTTAGTACAGGATTATCCCTCCTTTGGAAGCACCAATTTAACAGGGGGAGAAACAGAAGAGGCAGAGCCCTTGCAATCTGTTGCTAGAAGAAAATCAACCCAACTGCCACCTATACACAAGATGTCCAGGCAGGCAGGTGCTGCATCCGCCCCACCGGCACAGGGCCTTGTCCCCGGGCACAGCCGGGCTCGCTGAGCTACACCGGGCTCCCTTCCTTCCCTCAGCCACTGCTCTCCTTGCCTCTCAGGGGGCTTTCTCCAGGGGTCTCCGGGGTTTCCTGTGCAGGAAGGCTGGTTTGGTGGGCAGTCCTCAGGCTGGCCTGCTGGAAGGCACAGGAATCCAGGAACACGCCGGGGATGCGGTCACCGAAGTACAGCTTGCTGTTGGCAGCTATGGCCTGGTACTTCATCAGCTCCAGATACTCAGGGGTCAGCTTCAGCTGCAAAAACAGAAACCAGAGACTCTGAGAGACAACCTTCTGTGCCCTGTGGTGCTAGGTTTCATGTCAGGCAGCCCCTCATGGGGTGTGGGCTGTCAGATGAAGTGTTTTCCCAGTGCTGCCCACCTGCAGCTGATCTCTGCATGGAGAAGAGTGAGTGACCAGCTTCCCAGAGCTCACCTTGTTGGAGTCAGCCAGCTTCCGAGCAGTGTAGTACTCTGCATCAGCTTTTGCCTTCTCCCTTGCCAGGAATGCAGCATCTAACGCAGCAGCAGAGGAGGGACAGGAAAGAAAGCATTAGGAAGTGAATGGCCCCATATCACACTGAGCACCTGAGCCCTCACCCCATGGGGACCAGCTGACCCAGGAGTGCCTTGACAGCCTGGCTGGCCCTGCACCTGCCCTGCAGCTTCCTGGAGAGCTCCATGCACAGGGCAGGAACGATCCCAGTGCACAGCCCTGCACCCCTGCAGCACCCTCGATGACTTTTGCAGGTCTGAGGTCACCAGCCCCAGCCAGCCCCAGCAGTGTGCTCACCTTCAATCTCAGAAATCCGCTTCTCCGTTTCCTTTTCCATGATCTTCTGCTGGTAGTGGATCCTGGCCACCTGTGCAGCCTTCTCTGCCTCTGCAATCACAAAGGGCTCAGCTGGGAAATTCACTTCTCAGGCCTTGAGCACCAGCATCCTGACCCCAGCACCTGGCTGCAGGGTCTGCCACACCAGGAGCTGGTTCTCTGCTCCCTCCCTTCTCACTCAGTGCCAGTCTGTGCTCCAAGCAGCAGAGCTACAGGACGAAAACACCGTGCTGGTGTCTGCAGAGCTGACATCCTATTTACAAGCACAGGGACATGGAGCTCCAAGCCCAAGCAGCTTTTCCAGCAGAGTGATTTCCTCCATCCCTGCTGCAGGACAGAGGTGCTCCCTGCTCTGCTGCTGTGGGATTGTCACCCAGATGTTGAAAATAACTGCTTGTGCAGCGTGGCTGAGCCTCCCTCAGGGAGCTGCCAGTGATGGAAGACAATGTCCTGCCCCAGCTTAGCAGGGAAGGCAGGAATGGAGGCTGAGCCCCTGCTGGTGCCATTACCTATGAGTGCTTTCTTCCGGTCTGTCTCTGCCTCCTTCTCCACCACCTTCTGCCTCTGGGCTGCAATCAGCAGCTTGGTCTTCTCAGCCTCCCTGCAAGGGGAGAAGTGTTATCCTGGGGAAAGGGAATGAGGAGCAGTATTGGGGTACACAAAACACAGAGTACTTTGGACCTAATTAGCATAAGAGATGTGATAAACAAAATGCCTTGGCAAGAGCAAACAGAATTTTGAGGATTAAATCAAGACTGCAAGAAGATTCAATTTCAGACTGGTTTACTGGAAAAAGAAAATTACATCAACTTCTGCAAGCAAGAGATGTTTAAAATGTGTAAGTTTGATTATGTGATGATTAACCCAATCACTGTAGTAAAACATTACAAATCTTCCTAGAATAAATATATAAGCAGTTGTACTTCACAATAAATTTGGATTCTTTGACCATCTCAATGCCTTCCCA